AGGATAAATTAGTCAGTCATGTTTAACTAAACCCTGACAGATGTGCAGGTAATCTATATCTTTAGAAGGCTGTTGAATTTCCCACAGGCTTTCCAAAGTACACAGGCTCTGGATGGCGGATGGAATCAGGCGCTGGAATCTTAAAAGAGAGAATCTGTCACTCAGGGGGAAGTGCACAAGCAAGATGCCACTGGCTTGGGTAAAGAGAGATCAGAAAGCCAGAATGGAGACAGGAGGCACTCAATTACTGGGCCCTGTTCACTCGCTGTGTCTTCCACTGAATGGTCCGAATGGGGAAAAAGTCAGGCACAGTTGGCCTGAAGCTAGATACATCCCAAAGAAAAAAATAAAGATGACAGCCTGCAGAGAGCTGTTTGTTCAAATTGGGTATTCTAGCCAAAAAAGACATGCCAGCAGTGAGGGGTAGGGAATGCTTGCCTTTTAAGGGGCCCGTCGTAGCCCCTGATAAAGGTACGAACTGAGGATTGATGCTTTCAGAAGTGGAGGCTTAAAGGGCACCTCCCACATGCTCCATTCCTTTCTGGGGAAAATTAGTTTTGGGGGAGAGAAAACCTTGATAAAACCACATCCACCTGCCATTCTCACATGGTGCCCTGAGGTGGACCACTCCTTGTGCTTTCTCAAGAGGGGGTCTGAGCTCTCCTCTCCTCCTGGTCAGAGAAGCCTGATACCCAGGCAAGGAGCATCAGAATCCCCAGAGGACTCGGTTCACTCAGGCAGGCTAAGACCTGATCCCCCTTGCCCCTGGGTTACCTTCCTGAGTGAGTGAGGCCAGCCACTCCTCTTCACGTCCCGTCCCCTCCCTTCCCTTCGCTTCCCTCCTGCCCTGCACTGGGGCTTCAGCTCACTTTGAACTACCCCCATTCTCCCAAGTGTCCCTTCTTGTTTCCACAGGTTACTCCCCATGTTTTTGACAGGCCCTCAATCTGCTCCAGCGTGGCTGGGGCACAGGCAGCGTCCTCGCCTCCTCCCGTGGTCAGAGAATGGCACCACCAGGCACTCGCATCCTCAGGGCACACACCTGGGAAGTATCCTGGGATCCCTAAAAAAAAAGTTTCTTGCTTCTTGCTGGCTCCACTGCCTTCATTCCAGTCCTTATCACCACTGCTACGCGCACCAAGGAGGCTGGATCAGGATCCTAATTGGTTTCCTGTCTTTCCCCCCACTCTCCCTTCTCCATCCAGCAGTCAAAGCACTCTCTTTCTAAAGTGACGTCACTTTCCTGCTTAGTTAGCTCCTTCAGAGCCTCTTAATCACTCTGCAGGCAAGTCCAAATCCATAATGTGACCTGTGCTTCGATCGCAGTGCCCTGCCCCGCCTCTGGTCTCCCTCTGCTCCTCGGGGCTCCCTGCTCCGCCCTGTCCTTTGCAGAAGCAGCTCCACCTGGGGCACCCCTCCTCGGTGTCTTGCTAATATGCAAATTTCTCGGATCTCTGCTTTTAATGTGTTTCCTCTTCCAGGACTTCCCTAAGCCTCACAAGAGGGGGGTTTCCCTTCTGTGTGCTTCCAGCACCATCACCTCTCGTTCACTGTCCACCTTCCCCTCTAGATGGGAGCAGCGCCCGGGGCGTGGCTCACCTCAGGGGGCCCAGCATCTTAGGCAGCCCGTTCCTGGCATGAAGAATGCTGTTGATAACATACTAACTCACCGAGCGTAATAACCCTCTTGTTGCCTTTTGCAAGCTTCCATTTATCCATCTGCAAAATGGCATAATAAAGCTCAGCTCATAGCATTACTGCAGGGAATGAGAGAGTATCAGTAAAACATAGCTCACAGCTACTGGAGTAGAGCAGGGACTTAACAAATGTAGATTCCTCTTCCCGTATCCCAACTGGCTGCATAATGTGTTATAATTTTATCCTTATGTTTTTGTGGAAGCCTGAGGAGATGCTTGTGATATAAAAAATAATACCTCTCCTTCACTTATTTTGTAGGTGGCTTGGTACAAATTAAGAAGGTTCGACGTGCAATATATATCTGCCTTCTCCCGCATAGAAAAGCTCCATAACCGAGGGTTTGGTTTGACTTCTCTGTGTCTGTATTCTCAGCCCTTACCAAGGATGGATACATAGCTTTTCAAAATATACGTTTTTAAAAAAACAAAACAAAACAGGAAAACATGAATACACTGGTTACAAGCTCCTTCAGTCTCACAGCTATCAAGTGACAGAGACAGGATTTAGATCCAGGCTGTTTTCTTGCTGGGCTGCCCTGGGTGCTGGACTGGCTCCTTGCATTAACTGGGCTTGAGGGGAGCCAGCAGTAACTGGGGCAATTAACAGACTTGGTCCATTTTCTGAGTTGGAAAAAAAATCCAAACATCAGGCCTTCACAGGTACAGGAAGTTCTGCCAATGATGCAGGTGACGCAGCTGGCTGAGTATTAGAGGGATGAAATCAGGCTCTGCTGTCATTAGCTCTGGCATGAGAACAGCGAGTGCCATTGCACATTACTCCAGTGTGTACAAAAAGACAGCTTTGTCCCCCAGGAAAGCCCAGCGCTCAGGCAGAGAAGGGCCCAGGTAATTTGGTGGTCTCCCAGTGGACTTGTCCTGTCTCCTCGGAAAATATGAACAAAATGCAATATAAGCAAGTGTAAATAAGGCACATGCAGCCGCTGTGGAAGGTACATAGCCCTGGGAAGAAAATGTGATCACTTTTGCCACCTGGGCCCCCTCTCCTCTCTCCACCCAAGGCCTGGAGCTTTAAGGGGCCTCGAGCTAGACTGGATTTGACTGCAACAGCGTGCCCGTAAAGCGGGAGGACATCATGAGTGACCCGGCTGACAAGGGCGGGAAGGAGGTACCGGTACCTAAATACTATAGGGCAGAGATGGTGTTAACAGTATTACTGCAGCGCTAGTGACGTTTTGAGGGAGGAAGGGAGGGGTGCTTTCATTTATTAGTATTTGGTCGTGGGGCAAGGGAGCCTGGGGAAACAGCTACTGAAGGAGAGAAAGGGGGGCTTCTTAAGTATCAGTCAATGGGTCCTGCCTGCCCCCAGGCCACCATCACACCACAGTCCTTGTCTCCTTCAGACAAAGCCAAGGCCTAGAAAAGAGGGGTGGGGAAGTTTCAAACAGGTGCTGGTTTTGGAAGTGGGGAGACAGAAGCCAGGCAATCCAAGCTTCTTGGGAAAGGGTTCCCAAAGGTGGTAACTGGTGTTCCGAGCTGGTCTCAGCTTACTGATGACTTTGGTGGCTGAGGGACACTCTAGAAAGGCCTCTCAGAGGATTACACAGAAAACAAGGAAATAATCAGAGGGATAAAAAAAAAATATTTGGAGTGATATAAAAAGTGGAGGTGGGGGCAGAAATTCTGCATTCAGAGCTGTAGTGTTAATATCTAATAGAGTGAGAGCAGGAGTGTGTGTGTGTGTGTGTGTGTGTGTGTGTGTGTGTGTGTGTGTGTTTGGATGTTAAAATCCTAACTGAAGCCACATTTGAACACTCAGTTGTGGATGTTTGAAAATGGCAAATCTGACACACAAGCATTGTAGGCGATCTGTAAACCTCTGCTAGGGCACCAATTACTGGTAAACTCGTGTAACTCCTGAAATCCTTCAGCTAAAGAGCCGAGGAAGAAAACACCCCACCTGTCACATGAAGCCACTACGTTCTGCCCCTCTAGCCTTACCAGTGCTTAGCTCAGGGTTCCGGAAGAAGTTAATATGAAAACAGTTAGAATTTAATTTAAACTTTAGTGCCTCTGAAGGTAATTAAAGAGTTGGGCCAGACCGGAGCTCTCTCTGGAGCAGGCCGGGAGGCCTCTCAGAAACCGAGACTTGTGAAAGCAATCTTCTTCAGCCCTCCTAGGTGCTGTTGTGCTTAATTACTTAATCAGAGCAACACTGGATCAATGCACTCAGAGTGCATGCAATTAGCATCTCCTGCAAAAAGTCCAGCTGAGCCGTTTTTAGGGCAGAGATGAGGGGATGAGCAGAGCCCAGGCTGGAACAAACACCAGGATGCCTTCCCAAGCCGCTCAGGAACACGTAGGCTCGATGCCACCCTCAAGTACGCGCAGGCTCCTTTTCCCGGTAGGGACCTGGGCCCCCGTGCTGTTGGTGCACACAGCACACGGCAAGTGCCCCAGGATAGGGCTGTTATGGAACCAGGCTGGAACGCTGGCGGAAACACCAAGCGGCACTCGGAGATCTTGGTGGATCGGAGATTTATTTACCACCGGCGGGCTCAGAGGAGACCGTTTCTCCAAAGATCTGGGCGCCGAATGCAAGTGGGGAGGGTAACTTACAGTTGTCAGCCTCCGTATCTGTGGGGGTTTTCGCGCACGCGGCAAACAAAGGAAGAAGCACCCGGAGGAACGGTCTCCAAGCTAGAGACCAGAGTGTGTTTTAGTCCCGTGGGCCATCTTTGGAGCAGTACTTTATTCACTTCTCCAACAGGGCAAGTGTGTGGGAATGGAGCGGACGGGGGCTGTACTTCACGGGAGCTTGAGAGAGTGTGAGACCGAGCAAGGCTACAGTCCCCTGGGACCATGGACCCTACTAAACTGGAACTCAAAGAGGTGAGGGTTGATTCCGCTTAGCAGGGTTTCAGAAGCAGTAACCACATCCTGGTTAAGGGGATCCTGGGGCAGCAAGAGGGCGTAACTAGGCTCCGCAGAAAGATGGAGCTGAGCTCGGAGGCCTGCACTGCCATCCTGGCTGAGGCTGGACAGGTGACCTTCCCCCTCTTCAGCTTCCTCATGTGCATACGGAGAAGGAGCTCATAGGATTACGGGAGGACTGCATGGGAATGCACTCAAGTGCCCGGCATCTCGGCAGCGGGTGGCTCGGATACCGTTTGTGTTTGTGGACACGGCGTGACACAGTGATCCACCAGAGGGAAGGTAGGGAAATCAAGATGACACATGCCGCATTTGCACCTGAAATGACCAAGTGAAGCTAGCCAGTTAAATGGCTAAAGAGAGATTCAAATCTACATCTCTTGGGGCATCTGGGTGGCTCAGTCGGTTGAGCGTCTGACTTCGGCTCAGGTCATGATCTCGCAGTTCGTGAGTTTGAGCCCTGCGTCTGACCCTGTGCTGTCAGCTCAGAGCCTCTGGAAGTTTGCTTGATCTGCTCTCATACCATAGCCCCAGGTGCGTGCACCTGTCCTTCCACCCAGTCCTCCCATCAGGCGCAGGGCCCCTTCCACAAGATTAGGATCAAGCAGCTGAGTGCACGGCAGGACCACACTCCCTCCCAGGCACATGAACAGGGAACAGGCGGCTGGTGCTGTGGCTGAGAGTCCAGGCTTGTGGGCCTGACAGCCTTGGGTCTGAATGCCAGTTTCGAGTGTGTGAGCTGCTGTTCTCCACCTAAGTCCGTGCTCTTCTTGAAACTTCTTTTTTTCTTCCATGCATAAAACAGGGATACTGAGAGTATCAGCCTCACCGGGTTGTGGTGAGGATTTGCTGTGAAGCTGAAGTTTTCCAAACCCAAGAGGCAGTCACCACCATCTTGCCCTCTGAGAAACTTCTGGAGCTGGTAGTGTTCACCACTGGGAGGTAATGGAGAATAAGCAACCAGCCGTAAGCGGCTTTTGTGACTGGAAACACGACTGAAGTTTCCTGAGGGGAATTTTCCAAGCTTATACAAGGTGAATCTCCATTTCTCACTGGAGATCATCGCAGAGAGATTTGAGCGTGCTCAGATTAAATTGTGTTGTTATATGTAAATCCAGGTTTTACTCTTCAGGGCCTAAAACATCAGTACAGATGCATGTTCTCTTATGCTGGGAGAATGCACCATTTTCTGTAAACAACCGGCCTGAGCAAAGGAATCAGGGCCCCATTATTCAGAAGCTCTCGCTAATAAAGTCCTTAAAAAGCAATCTTTGAAAGAGCTTAAAATACTGACATTAAACTTGAAGGAAAATGAGTTAAACTAATTAATGGTAGAGCCTACAAGCATAGATGGATAAATATCCCTATTAACCCCATTATGGCTATTCTTAGTAACCTGATTTGAGGAGACTTTAATGTTGCCTTTGATTCGAATGATAATCCTTCATGTGGAAAAAGAAATACATTTAGAATTTACACAACATTTGTAAATGTGCATTAGCAGAGTAACACTTACTTTTTCCCGCTGAATAATCTAGAGCAGGGAGGTTAGCTAGATGAAATAAGCTTTTAAAGCCTCCGATACAATCCACAGCCTTTTCCACCGCTCCATGGTAAAAAAAAAAAAAAAAAAAAAAAAAAAAAAAGCGGATGTGCAAAATCTTGGTTGGAAATGCCCACCGTGGCTTCAATTGTGTTTCCCAGACACTGGGTAGGCATTTCCCTACATGGGAAATCTGAAAAAGATTAGTGGTGCTGTAGAAAAAACAGCATCATAACCGGCAATTTGACTGAAGGGCTTCATGGTCCTCGACTAATAAAGACTAAAGGCCAGAAATGACAACTGCTCTTCTCACCTAAAATCAGCAATGGCAGATGCTTCAGCACGAGGTGTGGGATACAGGCTCAACCCCGACTCCTGGGAGGAGCCGGGGTGGACAGAGCCCTGGGAAAGGGGCTGGGTGAAGTCCCTGTGTGGGCCGTCCCATTGCCAAGAGGCAGACAGACAGTTACTCTGCATTTTCTTAATCTATAAACTCAGGTGGCCCATGACAGTCTGGGAAGGCTTCCAAAAGGAGGCAGCTGAGATGATGTGCAGGGAGCACTTGGAAAAGGGGAAGACAGTCCAGACAGGTCTTCGAAATAATGAGGAAGCCAATGTGAATGATGCGACTTTTTCTTAAACTAACTTATACTTAAGATTAGCTGTGCTCGGATTAAACACACCAACTTTTAGCATGATTAGATCTAATTCTCATTCATAAACATATAAAAAATCAAACATGTATAAACGCTTACATAAATGCATATATATGTAAAATGCTCCATGTATCTGTCTAACGATATTCCAATATATTAGAAATTATATAAATGCTTATATACCTTTCAAGGACCGTCTTCTGACCAGGTAGCACTGACAATGCCAGGAGTGATACATAAGCCTATATCTGGAGGTTTTAGTGACAGAAGACATATCTTTTGAGTACATATAAGATGAATCTCCATTGTGGGGCGCCTGGATAGCTCACTTGGTTAAGCGTCTGACTTTGGCTCAGGTCATGATCTCACGGTCTGTGAGTTCGAGCCCCACATCGGGGTCTGTGCTGACAGCTTGGAGCCTGGAGCCTACTTCAGGTTCTGTGTCTCCCTCTCTCTCTCTGCCCCTTCCCCACTCACACTCTTTCTCTCTCTCTCTCTCTCTGAGAAATAAATAAACATTAAAAAAAATATGAGTCGCCATTCAAAGTTGGTAATTTGTATCCAGTTCAGCCCACTCAATTTCAACATCCAAATCTGGGCAGTATTACATAGAATTTAAGTTTCTGTGTTTTTCAACACTTAAAGCACCAATACGTACATGTATGTTTTTACCCTTAAAGGTGAGATCAACTTATATTGTTATTTAATGGGTCAGGAAGCCACAAAAGATGGGTGCAGGACCATGAATGCCAAGCTGGGGACCAGAGATCTATCTGATCCTGATGGTCTAGGACGTGCACAGAACCTGAGATTGCCTTTTTAGCTTGGGGGTGACAGGAGGTCACGGGCACACTTTCACTCATGATTAGGTAGGGGACCAGGAGTAGATATGAGCCAAAGGCAGAGAAACGCGATATCCAATTAGTTCCTTTCCTCTCAACACTGCTCCCTCTCCTGGACCAGAGTGGATGGTGACATGGGTATATGGACTAATGGGATGGAAGGAAGCGCCACACCCTTCTTGTGACAAAGGTGCAACAGTGCCTCCGGGGCTACTGTCATCTTGAGTAAGAGGGTAGAGGTTGGAGCTGGGATCGAAAACTCCCAATTGGGACTGAGGCCAGAATGGGATGGTCCTGAGTATGCCTGGAGCATGCATGGCCTGGCATCTTCACTTCCATGCTTCTAGTGGACAAACTGACCGAAGATCGGGATAGTGAAGCAGGGTCTAAGGAAGAAGTGCCTGCTGAAACCATAAAGGGTATCTTCAGCAATTCCAAACCCTGCCAGGTGCAGTGTTTCACTCACTATTCTTTTCACCCTTTCGCTCGTGTAACTCACTCTAAGTTTATTTCCACTCTGGAAGCCTGGGGGCATGAATGGGTATAGTGACCCAGCAAGAAAAGAAAATGGTACCCAAGCCTCATGGGAACTCCGTGGGCTCGGAGAGGACCTTGTGCCTGGCATAAAGATGAAATAGTAGCTACTATTTTACTGCTAGAAACACTACTATCTTTGGTCCAAACTGTCTGTTTAGAAACCTAGTATCTACCAAGGCAGTGTGACATAGCTGGAAATTTCCCTCTTCCCCTCCTAAATATCATATAATCAACAACATAAGCAGAATAAAATCGTAAAGTCCATTTTTAGTTAAACTGCAAAACAGATATATAATCCCTAGCTTTGAACAATATAGCAGAAGCCACCCGCAGGGAAGTAAAATGTCCAAAGCCAATTAAAAAAATCAAAAACATGTTTATGATAGGCAAAGGGCTCCTCCTGAAGTCAGAGACCAGTATTTCCTGTCAAGCAAGGACTAAGGGACTAAAAGGAAAGGACAGGGCACAGATCAAGCAGAAGTTGCACAGGAAGAAAAAACAAGAAAGCAGAAAAAGAGGAAAATGGCTCAGAGCAGCAGGTCTCAGAAAATGCCGGCAAAATTGTTCTCCCTGTAGGCAAGAGGCTCACTCCAAAGTGCAGCTTCAGTTATAACAAGAGAACTGGAGAACTGAAACAGAGCTGTTCGGTAGAAACAGGAGAGAGAGAATACACAGAGCAGCCATTTTAGCAGGAAACCCTCTTTCATGGGTGACTTACAAAGCAAATTTGGATTGTGAGTCTACAAAGACCGATGGATTCCTCTCCTTCCATCTACTGGACTCTATGTGAAATAGGCAGGCCAGTCAAGTCTAACTTATAACAATTTTTTTAATAACTTTTTTTTTTAAGATGCTGGCAAGTTTATACATACCCATACAAACACACATACGCTGTAGAAAAGAGCAGTAAAACTTGGCACAGAACACTCAGCAGAAAAAAAAAATGGAAAAGGTGAAAATGTGGAACAAGTATAACACCATGAATTAGAGTGAAACAATCACCTTTGTGAAGAAAGAAAATAAAACAGTATACAAGGAATCAGAGAAGAGATGAAGAGACCCTGGAGGAAATGGCATGTGAGCATTTAGACCCCCAGCAAAAAGAAAAAAGGAAAAGAAAATCATAAAAATGAAGGCACACTGAAAAATGCACAAAGGAATGCAGACACTGGAAAACTCAGTGAGAGAGAAGGATGTCAGAAATGACAGGAGAGAACAACATGAAAAGGAAAGAAATAAGGAATTATAAAGGATTAGAGAGTAAGGGCACCTGGGTGGCTCAATCAGTTGAACATCTGACTCTTGATTTTTAGCTCAGGTCATGATCTCACGGTTCGTGGGATCCAGCCTCGCATCCAGCTCTGTGCTGATGGCGTAGGGTCTTCTTGGGATCCTGTCTCTCCCTCCCTCTCTCTGCCCCTCCATCTCCCTCCCTCTCTCTTTCTCTCTCAAAATAAATACACACACATATATAAAAAACAAAAACGAAAATCCATGGGGGATTAGAGAGCAAATGACAGTTACAGAGAAGAGGCAAAGGGAGGCCTACATGTGCATGATGGAAGCCTTTGAAGAAACAAGAGAAAACAATGCAACGGGGCATATATTTAAAATAGAATTTGTTAAACCATTTCTGAAATAAAACAAGAGATGAACCTACATATTGAAAAGGCACAGCATTAGCCAGAAAAACAACAACAACAACCTGGAATGGCCAGCACTAGGATTTTTTCTAATGAAGTTACTGGATTTTAAAAATAAATATTGATCCAATAGCAGAGAAGATACCCATGGAACACATGAGAGAGAAAAAAAAAATAAGTCTGCCCTCAGATCTCAAATAGCAATATTCCAAGTCAGAAT